AGACCTTGCAAAATAGAGACAGTATACAGTGGGACGATTCAGCCATCAAGAGAGACTTAGGGTTCTTGCAAATCTAAATAAGGAGGGCAATAATGCCTTCAGATGTACCTTCTTTTTTTTAAAGATTTTATTTATTTATTTGACAGAGAGAGAGACACAGCGAGAGAGGGAACACAAGCAGGGGGAATGGGAGAGGGAGAAGGAGGCTTCCCGCTGAGCAGGGAGCCCGATGTGGGGCTCGATCCCGGGACCCTGGGATCATGACCTGAGCCAAAGGCAGACGCTTAACTGACTGAGCCACCCAGGCGCTCCTGGATGCACCTTCTTTTTTATAGCTAAACCTATAAAGCCTTCCATTAGGGTACATTTTAATCTGGTAGAACTGTTTTATGAGGGAGATTGTCTATAGACATTAAGGCTTATTTGGCTCCAGTGGGTTCCCATTAGAATTTTTTCCTTTTGGGGCCCCTGGGTGGCTCAGTCGGTTGGGCAGCTGCCTTCGGCTCAGGTCATGATCCCAGGGTCCTGGGATTGAGCCCTGCATCAGGCTTCTTGCTCAGCGGGGAGCCTGCTTCTCCCCTGCCTGCCACTCCCCCTGCTTGGGCTTGCTCTCTCCTTCTCTCTGTGTGTGTCAAATAAATAAATAAAATATTTTTAAAAAAAAATTTTTTTTTAAAGAATTTTTTCCCTTTTTATTTTTTCCCTGTAATATCAATGTTGATTAAACAAAGAGACCTCTAGGATGGCTAGCTCTCTGCTATATCAGACACGGGACAATCAAAGCTCATTTTAGCCCTTTGTGAGCATGTGATTCAGAGGAAATATTTTTTTTTTAATGTAGATGGAGTGGAGTATAAACACATCATCAAATCTCAATATTCTAAGAATACTCCTCTACCCTAACCTCCTTATATTCATCATCTCCCTGTTCCTGTCATGTCAGATTCTAAGTGAGTTGTACTGATTAATCTGAAAGATTAAGGGATGAGTGATAATTTTCAATATAGTCTCAGATTTGGGGCTCAAGACTACGGGTAAAACATGAAAAGCTGAATAGCAAATTTTTCCCATAGACTTATCACAGGGTTTGACATAATTTAACATTTTAAGGTTTCTGTGATAAATAAGTTGGTTCAAATTATGTCCATTTGGGGTCCAGTAGTATGGTTTATGTGAAAAAAAATTTTCAAGGCCGACAGACCTGGATTCAAAACTCAGTTCTCCTACTCTAGATTTGTGACCTTGGACGGTTATTTCTGGGCTTGAGGGTGCTCATCTATTAAATAGGGTTACTAATACCCATTACACAGGACTGTCCTCATGATGAAGTAAGCTACTCTATGTAAGTTCCCAGCTCTGTGCTTGGCATACAGTCTACGGTAGTGACGGTGGTGATCATTATTCAAGCGTTTCCAAATACTGATTGTGTGGCAGCACTCTGCTAGGCCTGAAGTTACAACAGGAACAAGACAGTCTATCTTCGGGGAGTTTTCAAAGGACGTTAGTCAAGCAATTGTTCCCAGTAAAATAGTTGATGGGGAAATAGACTGACTCATGGCTGCATCTCTCGCATAAAGACACAGAGAATGCCCTGGAGAGTCCTGGCATGTGTCCTAGAATTACTCTTCCAAGAGGGAACTAGTTTTCGTTGATTGTGTACTTTGATACCGTATTAGGTATTTACAAACACTGTCTCATTTCTCCCTATAATAACCCCATGGAATCAGTGTTGTTATTCACGTTGTATAGATGGCCAAGATCACTTAACTAGTTGACAGACTCAGGTTCAAACCCACGTCAGTCTGCCTTCAAAGTGTCACCTTTGACGGGCACACTCCCACTCTTGTAGCTGTTGGAAAATTTGTGACTGTAAATGAAACACACTCTTGAATTAAGCCTGTATCCTACCATGCTGGGATGGCTTTCTCAAAGGAGTGTTCTGAGGAAGAAGGAGGGAATTTTTATAGAGGCTTTAGAAGAAGAGGTCAGCCAAGAACAACTGGTCAAAACTAATTCTTCTCAGAGATTAGCAGCCATTAGCTTCTCGCAGGATTGTGGATTTATCAAGATGGATGGGGAGCAAGTTAGGAGCTGAAGTCATGAGCAAGAAAGGGTGAGGGGGGAATCCCTCCCAGGAACAAGGACAGGCAAGGCTATGAGGGCCACAGCGGGACATTTTTGGTCCTTCGGGATCTCGTACACCAACATCTCGGTCTCTTCTTCTTTTTTTTTTTTTTTTTTTTTTAAGATTTTATTTATTTGACAGAGCACAAGCAGAGGGAGAGAGAGGGAGAAGCAGGTTCCCTGCTGAGCAAGGAGCCCGATGTGGGACTCGATCCCAGGACCCTGGGATCATGACCTGGGCCAAAGGCAGCCACTTAACCGACTGAGCCACCCAGGCGTCCTCGGTCTCTTCTTAATCCATTTGCAAACTTTCAAAAGTAAGGATCTTTGCCTGTGCGTCTGTCCACTGTTAAACAGCAGAACGGGTCTGGAAAGATCGATTCTTTGCCTTAGGATGTGTGATGTTACCACCAGTGTGATGTTTACTGTTGTCATGCTTAATGAAAAAATTCCTGACCTTGAAGGGGAAAAACATGAACAACTGCTTCACCCGTCTGAGCCCGTCCCCTTCACGTGGCCGGGAGTAGACAATGTGAACGCAGCTTGTGGGAAGTAAAACCACTCACAAAAGATTAAGTACAATAATGATGTTAATAGTAGGATTACTGGGGCTAGGATTTCTGTAGCAGGGAGATGGTGAACCACCTCCTGTATTCCATGAGACAAAGAGAAAGCTTGAGAGTCGAGCCAAGGCAGAAAGAGGTAGAAACTGATTTACCAAAAAAACCCAAGAAACTCTTAGTAGAGAGGACATTAGATCCCTGTGGGGAAGTGTCTGGTGGCAGCTAATTTCTCTTTTGCTTTCTTGATAAAACAGAATTGGGGGTATTAAATGAAAACAAAACAAAACAAAACAAAAAAACCCTCGTAAAGCCCCTGGGAGATGAGTTTGTCTCGAGTGCGCTGACCTAACAGATTCTCGCGGCATTATTGTGCCTTAGGGCAGCGGTATTACAGAGGATTGCAGAAGCGTCTGGTGTGTAACTAAAGTTAGTGTTCTAGAGAGCCCACCTGTGGGGTCCTTCTTGTGTTTGATTTCATATTCTCTCCATTTTAAATTCTCACTTCAGACAACTAAGAGCTTATCAACAGTATCCAAAGTTCGTGTGCAGGGGAGCCCAGCTGGCTCAGTCAGTGGAGAGTGCGACTCTTGATCTCGGGGTTGTGAGTTCGAGCCCCACGTCTCACATAGAGATTACTTGAGGAAAAAAAGCTTGTGTTCATTGGAATCACTCTTTCTAAATTCCCGTGGATAAGGGCCACGTGAGGAGCTATGTAGTGGCTGCCCTGAGCTATCTTGGAGCTGGACCTCAGAGAGCTAACTTTCTATGAAACTTTTGTGTTCTTGGGGAGTGTGCATTTAACTGTGGGCTGTCGTCTCTCCTGGGGCCCTTCGATCAGACAAGAAGGGTGGAGTATTGCAGACCTCGTGGGGCGTGTGTAGGAGAGTTTGTGTGAGAGACACTGTCACCCGGCCTTGTTTGTCACACAAATTACTCCGCTCAGTCAAGTTCAACACTACTGCCTGGGCTCTATACCAAGAACTTAAAAATAAAGTGGAAGTAAAATACAGTAACTTATTTTTCACTGACTGTTAATTAAGCAGGGTGCTAGGAGCAAATGCTGAAGAGTTATTTTAGCTGCATGGACCCCTGAAGTAGTATGTGAAAGTTGCTTTGGGGAGTGATTCACTGAACTAAAACATTCCTGATCTAAACATTCCTGAAGAACTACTATGTTTAAGTCACACTGTACTTGTACTTAATTTGAATCAAATCTACCCAAAATAAAAGTGACTCTGTCTAGGTCTTAATTAAATTAAGTTTTTCAGCCATGGACTTCGGTTACAAGGACTTTGGACTATGTGGGATCTTTTGTCCCTGATGAGAAATTAGGATCACATCACAAAATTTCATTTTCATGTTTAGCTTTTAAACACATTTCTTTGAAGTCGGCTTTACTTTATTGTTGTTTAATTCCCAAGTAAGATTTTGCTTTTTCACATTGAATAGTTAAATTTATAATAATTAGACAAACTTAGTTTTGATTTTAACAAATCCATTATTTATAAAAGTTCGGTCTTTGTGTAGCTGCAAATACAGTCAGTTCTTTATTGAACAAATGTGAACTTTCCATTGGATGGGTTGTCTTCCAAAAGTTTCCAACACTTGGATGATTTTTCCATGCAAATCAGCATGTTTTTCTGATTTGCTTCTGTCATCATGTAGCATATAATCAGGGAAGTCATATTCATGTTATAATAGTCTAAATGAAGCACAGAAAGGAATGCAATTTTTTAATTAAAATATTAAAAAGCCTTATAATCATGGATCAAGTGTACATCCCTGGAACCCACTATTACTCTTAATTTTAGAATGAATATGAACTCTAGAGAACTAGTAGATTAATTAGTTGTATTCTATATTACATGTTTAATCTCAAAAGTGTGATTTCATTGCTAAGAAATAAAAGTGTGTGCATCTCCACAAATATGTCTGACTTTCCTAAGTGTTGCACTTCATACAGGCCACCCACACTTACCAAGTACTGTCATTTTCTTCAAGGCAAAAAATGTCAGCATCCTTAGAGAATGAGGATGTAATTCACTAATTCATAAATTGTTGTCATTGTTGTTCTCTGATGTGAACCTTATCTTACGTTACCTATAAGCATAATCTCACCAAAGTTTGGTCTCAGGGGTCTTATATCTTATGTGGAGAAAACATAAAAGCCAAACTGAGATTTTTCCAGAAAATAACTTCAAAGGAATGTGTTGTTTCCCTTTCCTAGTCCTCCATTTATAGTTAAATATAATAAAGCATAGGTTCATTTTAATGTCAATAGCTATAAATCTAAAAATACTTTTCTTCTGTCAGGTTGTTTACTATGTCTCTGGCTGGTCCAGCAGAAACAGACATAGACGGGCGCCTCCCCGGTGCGGCATTAGGACTCAGTAGGATGGCCGCTGAGTGCGGGGGCCGCCTGGGCACAAGTGACTGTCCCAGTGGCAGTCCCGGGCACACCTCCGATAGGAGTGTTGACTATAGTAGATCCCAGTGTTCCTGCAGAAGTTTAAGTTCTCGCTGTGATTACTCAGAAGACTTTCTCTCTGAACGTTCAGAAACCGCTCTTAATAGAAATTATTTAGAGAAGCCTGTGATAAAAGAAAAAAAGGACGAGAAGAAAAAGTACATTTCTAAAATCTCCCAATCTAAAGGTAAGCAACATTTCCCAAGCAAGACCAAATTTCTGTTTCTAATGACATTATTATTTAATGCGCTAGTATTTGAAGTAGTCCACATTCCGTTTTATTGTCCTCCCATGTTCTAAATGTGTCTGTATAAGGGAACTTTTATAGAAGGAATTAGGAAATAGAGAAATTAAGAATCCTGACGAAATGGCAGGAAGTTAGGCTGAAAATGTAAAGCCTAGCCCTCTTGCCCGACTTACCCTCCTGGAGCCCAGCAGTGAGGCTGGTTCCATTTTTAGTTAACAGGTGGCCTCGCTACAGATACTTGGATCTCACTGGCTTCTTGCCTTTCATCTCAGCAGAAGAACCAAGGTTTGAGTTGCCAATGAAATGTAAAAACCCGTTTCAACACCCCAAGAAGACGAGCTTCAAGTCCGGTGAGGCAAAGATCATTCTTTGAAACGGGGATGGTTCCAAAGGCTGTTAATAATGTCATTCCCTCGCGGACTGTAGCAGCACCCACACCGTCCATTCCTAACTGTCCAAACTGAAAGCAGCCTTGTGATATCCTCGATCTCGCTCCTTGCCTGGACCGTGATGACTCCCTCCCATTTTAGGCAATCCTAGGCTTATAAATACCCCTAATAGAGAAAGAGCTGAAAGTCTCTTCCACTTGGCCATCAGAACTGCCATCGGTCAACAGCTGGAAAATACTTAAGCTCCTAATACTATACGTGGAACACGCCTACCGTTACGTTACCCGTGTCTCCCACCCCCAGCCTCCTGTGACCAGGTGTGCCTAGGACTCCCTGTGCTACTTCTGGGTCATCTAGAATCTTCAGGTCCTTCTCCCTAGAAAAGTTTACAAATCCAAATAGACACAAAATATGCAAAGATTTTCATGGGGCCCACAGACATGGGTCTTAGATTAAGAATCCCTACCCTACAGCTTGGAAGAAGGGGACCTGAAGATTCTAGATGACCCAGAAGTAGCACAGGGAGTCCTAGGCACACCTGGTCACAAGAGGCTGGGGGTGGGAGATACGGGTAACATAACGGTAGGCGTGTTCCACGTATAGTATTAGGAGCTTAAGTATTTTCCAGCTGTTGACCGATGGCAGTTCTGATGGTCAAGTGGAAGAGACTTTCAGCTATTTCTACCAGATTCTCAAAAGGCTAAAAGCCCCTTTCCCAGAGAGGTGGGAGCCTTACACTCACGGGCAAGGCCCAGGGTAGGAGATGAAAGGTCCAGTTCCTTCTCTCACATGGGACTCTGTCAAAAGAAGTCTGTTTGTGGCATTTGGAAGAGATTATCACAATAGAACCCACATCGTTCGTAGGCTCCCTGGTTACAATCCCTTAGCCACATTTGTAATTTACAAAACTCTGAAAATCAAGTATTTTCTATATCTTTGGCACCTAAACTGATTTGGCAACAAAAACTAAGATGAGACTGATCTTTAGTTCACTTAGTGTGAAGAGTCCTATATTTCACAAAAATATTCTTTGATTAAAGTCTGCTGTCCCCAACCCTTCTGGGAGTACTATGGAAAATACTGTATACGCACCAGAATAATAATAATAATTCAGAAACAGTCTAGCCCCAAGGTTTTATGGGACAGGGATCATGGCTCTCTACACTACATTTTATATTGATTCTACACTTTTATGGGGCTACATGAAAGGCAGAATTTATAAAACTATTTCTACAGGAACTGCACTTCGGGTTCTAAGTGCCTGATAATTTAACTTTTAAAAATTGTTTCCTCTATTATTCCACAAATATTTATTGAGTGTTTTATGCAAGATACCTGGTCATAAATTGGGGCAAATTAATTTTGGTGCAATCAAATTTAATTTAGTCACTTCACTAAGAGTAGTTTAATCATTAGGCCAAATCTGCCTCATTGTATAAAATGAGATAGAAATTGTAAGAGACACTTAACTCTAAGAAACAAACAGGGTTGCTGGAGGGGAGGTAGGTGGGGGGATGGGCTAACTGGGTGATGGGCATTAAGGAGGGCACTGGATGTAATGAGCACTGGGTGTTATGTGCAACTGATGAATCACTAAATTCTACCCCTGAAATTAATAATACAGTATATGTTAACTAAAAAAACAAAAAAGAAAGAAAGAAATTGTAAATTTTGTCATTCTTACATGTGTAGGTTAGTGTAATGAGATACAAAATCATTGACTAAACCCTGCTTCAACTTTCCATAACCTTAATTAGTATACAAGTATGCATAATATGTATAGTATGAATTTATTCTGTATCACTCAAACACAAGTGGTATATTTACCTTCTGAAGCAAACAAGTCTGGTTCATCCTCCCCCAAACACCCACCAGGGTAGGCAAAAAATGCAATCTCGGGCGTGTTTGGGGGATGGAGAGAGTGTGGGTGGCCTTACACAGATGAGAACACTGGGGAAGGGCTTCTGGTCCTTCATTCTCATCACTTATGTGCTCCTTGTCCAAGCACACTGATCACTAAGAGGCTGATTCCTCCTGTTTTCAAAGTACCCATTCCCCTGTATGCACACTTCTTCCTGGCGCCTTGGCCGGTGCTCCCACGGCCACAGGGACTCGTCCCAGGCACCCACTCATTCTGACTCTGCCCTCCCATCACGTGAGCACAGCATAAGAGAGAGACAGAAGCCTTCACTGCCCACAGAACCCGCCACCCTTCATCCTTCTGGTCCCATGGAAATCCTTCTCTCCTCCAAGTCACACCACCCAAGAGTGTAAAACATTCTAAGTTGGGAGTCAGGCTTCAGTCATGCTGGACATGGTGTAGGACATGACAGCCCCACCCACCCCTGTCGTAATCCAGCCGGATCCACACTGCCTGGGTCCGGCGTTCCCCTAGCCAGCTCCTAAGGTATCAAAGTGCCTGGCCTTCCAGTAGGTGGCCTAGAGACTGACTTCGGCTTTCCAGTTTTCAGTGTGCTCAAAAACCTATTCCAAAATACTCAAATATCCAACCAGAGCCCTTACTAAGTTGTTCCCAGTGGGAAAATAAGGACCTTTGGAGGCATAGTTGTAAAGACAGTCCATCAACTATTGATGTGATGCAGGTACTATGATCATGTCATCCCTGCGTAGTCTGTCATAGTCAAGATTTAAGCACTTTATCCCCTAAAGCATCCTCGATTTCTGCTGGCTCACTTCCACTGCAGGCTGAACCTCCTTTCCCACCACCTGTGCCAAATGCGTTAAGCCGAGTCTCAGATGATGGGTCCACAGTTGGGCCAATAGCTTAAGGCTAGGACTCCAGTGACGCTGGTCACTAAGTGCTTTCTTGCTCCAGGATGAAGACCATGCTTCTCTTAGATCCTAGAATCTAGGTTCAGTCTCTCTCAGCATATAAATATAATAACATGTACACACACATATGCAGTGTGCACATATATGTACAGAAATGTCATACGGATGCACATACATATGGGACCAGGGTTCCGTCTCCCACTTACTAGCTGTGTGCCCATCCATAAGTGACTTCATGAAGCATCAGTTTGTTCATCTTTAAAAGGGGATAATAATGCAGTGATGTTACATATACATTTGACATACTCAATGCAGTTATATAAGCTTGGTGCTTAGAAGCTGGGTGTAATATTGTTTAGATACATTTTGTTTAAAATAGACTTCTGAATACAAGTCAACTAACTACTTCCTTTAAAGCCCAGTCAAAGTAACAGGAAAAATTGTCTATGTTGGATTTACTGAGAGATAGAATATCCGCATATTTTCTCTAAGCAGCTCAATGGCTTTCTAAGGGTCTTTTTGAATATATGAGGTCTTCATATATAACATTGGACTCTAAGGTGTTACGTTCGAATTGCCTCATAACATATTACTGGAAGGATTATATCAGATAATCTACATAAAGCATTTAGTTCAATGCTTAACACATGGTAAGCCCTTAGTAAATGTTATCTATTATTATGGTTTTTAGTATAGCTTTAATAATAGAAGTAAGTATAGGTTTTCCAGTCAAAGAAGACCTGCTTTTCAATCCATTCCATGTGACTTTGTGGTTATATAACCTTGGACAAATGACTTACAGTCTTCAGCTGTTAAATAGACTACTGCTGACCTTGAATGGAGTATTCTGCATATGAAATCCCTGCCCTGGAGCATGGCTATTCATTACATGCTCTTTCCCCTTCTAGTTTGCCTGTGTATGTGCGCATGTGTGCGGGGTGGGGGTGGGGGGAACACAAACGTGCATATCTGCATATGTGTATGCATATTACTAGTAACAAACTGGATTATCTGCTTACACAGGCCAGAAGGAAATCTCAGTTGAAAAAAAGCACAACTGGAATGCACCACTTTTAAATGCCCAAAACAATATGATTACCCAAAGAAGAGACGCCATGACTCATCGCATACTCTCAGCAAGGCTTCATAAGATTAAAGAGCTAAAAAATGAACTAGGGGATATCCATCGTAAATTGGAAGCCATGGTCATAGAAAACCAATTTTTGAAACAGCTGCAGCTTAGGCACTTGAAAGCTATAGGGAAATATGAGAATTCACAAAATAATCTACCTCAAATTATGGCAAAACATCAGAACGAAGTCAAAAATTTGAGGCAGCTACTTAGGAAATCCCAGGAAAAGGAAAGAAGTGCATCTAGGAAACTTCGAGAAGCTGACAGTGAGCTGCTGAAGACTAAAGATGCCTTGCAGGCACTGCAGAAACTTTCTGAAGACAAAAACCTTGCAGAGAGGGAGGAACTTACTCAAAGATTGTCTGTTCTTACAACAAAAACGGAGGCAAATGACAAAAAAATACAGGTCCGTATTTCAGAGGCCTAGAAACTGTAATGTTCCAAAATGGACACGGAGAGGGTGTACCTGCAGCACGCTTGCCCCTGTGTAGGAGAGCATCACCAGCTGCTTTGCCTGCAGGCCACACCAGTGATGCTGTCTAAGGGGGGTTCAGGGGTGGGGAAGGGCAGATGTTCCTTCTGTGGTCTAGTGAGCTCATCCTGTGGCAGGGCTTGTTTGTCTGGAAATGACCATTCTCTAAGCCTGTTCGTGTGCTGGAAAGGTTGTTGGGTTGTATTGGGTTGGGTTGGGTTGGGTTGGGTTGGGTTGGGTTGGGTTGTATTGGGTTGGGTTGGGTTGGGTTGGGTTGTATTGGGTTGGGTTGGGTTGGGCTGGGTTGTGTTGGGTTGGGTTGGGTTGGGTTGGGTTGGGTTGGGCTGGGTTGTATTGGGTTGGGTTGGGTTGGGCTGGGTTGTATTGGGTTGGGTTGGGTTGGGCTGGGTTGTATTGGGTTGGGTTGGGTTGGGCTGGGTTGTATTGGGTTGGGTTGGGTTGGGCTGGGTTGTATTGGGTTGGGTTGGGTTGGGCTGGGTTGTATTGGGTTGGGTTGGGTTGGGTTGGGTTGGGTTGGGTGGGTGAAACCTCTTAGAAGCTAACCTTCTACTTCATACTATTTATTAAAAGCCTACTTTCCTAAAAGCCTGCCCCCTGCATCTCTCCTGCCCCTTTCCTCATATTCCCTGGTCAGCTGTCTTCTCACCACCGCACAGACATTGTTGGTATGTTCGCAACAGAAGCGTTTCCCAGATAATGCTCCTGGGAACAGAGAGGGGAAAGGAACTACAATCATTGACATGAACACGTTGATCTTCCTGAATGGCACATGGTCATCAAAGGCTCAGGGACTGCACTATAAGGGATGATTTGGGAGAACACCCTGATTCTACTGAGAATTCTGCCAATTTTATGTTAGTCCTTGGTCTCTATGGACAAACATACTTTTAAAAAATTTACTGCTTAATGCCTTATTATATGATGGTAAGAGGCCGATTTTTTTATGAACTTGAAAAAAGAAAATATCAAGTTCATTTCATGTACTTTTTTATCGGTTACTTCCTCTTTGGTAAAAATCCTCCTCTTTTTTCAAAGAGAATTTTCTCCCATAAAACGGGCGTGTGAGCTCCAGAAAATGATGAGCAGCCTCCTTTTCAGTCATGTAATTCATAATCCGAAGTTCTATTATTTGAAAGTAAATTTCTTTTTATCTCATCTACATATTTTTACATATACATGTTAAGTAGTTCCTGTTTTATATCTATAACCAAAACCAAAAAGAATTCAAGAACTATTTTCTTATCAGGCGCACTTAGTCATATGGGAAATTTTGTTTGGCTGTAGGGCATTTGGTGGTCGGAGAAAATGTTTATGAGCCAAAACATGTAGTATTTTTTTTAATGTTAATAGTTTGGAGACTGGGGTTTTTAGTGATTATTTCATTCTTCTAGCTTACCATATTGCCCGCTTTTCTTTAATGAGAAAGTATTACTATAATGTGGGAAAAAAGGAAAGAAAAGGCCTTTTCGGCCAAGCCTCTGTCCAAGTCCAGACCAAAGAGTTCTGCAGTAAAATTCTCATGCTCTGCAGAGGATGGAGAGGAGGTGCCCGCATACCCGTGAGCCCTGGGTGCAGACGGCCGCGGTGCTGGCAGAGACCTTCTGGTCTTAGAATTCCTCCCTCTTTGGGGGGTGGGGGTGGAGGATGAGTCCCTGAAGGAGCTCCCAGCGTCCGTCAGCGGAGAGTTGAGCCCGCCTTCGAGCCCGCACAGCTGCCCTGCTGCTGGACAGCCCTCCAGCGACCGAGGCTTGACAGAGCTCCTGAATGCACCTGCCACGTTAGCAGGTCTCCGTGTTAGCACAGCCACTTGGGTTGAGTTTTAAAGCATGGCATATTTATTCATTTTCAAGAAATGCTCAAAGGTTGTTTGTATTTTTTAAATCAAATTCCAGAGTGTAAAAAACATTAGGTTCAAAATATATTGATTCTCTAGAGTTGTGATCTGGGGTTTTTTGCTTTTGTGTCTGTGTGTGTGGTTATATTTAGTTCTAATCTATGTCCCCCGTAGGAGCCATGCACTAAAATTGTATTAAAACTTCACACTTCTCATAAATGCAATTAGTTCCATTACAATTGAAGTTTTTTTTTTTTTTTTTTAACAATACTACACTGGTTACCGAAGAGTTGAAATATATACTGTTTTCAGAGCTTGGAGAAACAACTGAGGTTGAACAATAGAGCCTTTAATCGGCAGCTGGCCATTGAGACCCGGAAGACCTTAGCAGCTCAAGCAGCTACAAAGACTCTGCAAATGGAAATAAAACGCCTTCAGCAAAAACTTAAGGTACTTCTTTTAAAGCCAAATGTAACAAAATTTGTGAAGTTCTGCTTCCCAAAATATCAAAGCTATTCTTTAAATTATTTAACTTCAAGAATCTATTTCTCAAATTAACTTTTTGTCCCTACAACCATATGAACAGATAGAGGATCTGAAATTACTGGGATGAGTTCACAGCCTGGTGAATATGTGCTGTAACGAGAAAAATTAAATCTCTAAGCTATTCATAACAAAACTTCCTGTTAACATTCTCATTCCGTCACATGAATTAATATTATTGTTTTCTTATCATGTTAATGTAACCCAAACTAAGTTTTTTTTTAACTACCTTACATCATTAAAATATTGTGAGTAATTTTAGTGGCCAACAGATTTATTTTAAAGTTTCTCTTGGAAATGTTTACAAAACCGTCTTTTAAAGTGTGTTTTAGGGGCACCTGATTGGCTCAGTCAGTTGAGCGTCCAACTCTTAATTTCGGCTCAGGTCATGATCTCAGGGTAATGAGATAGAGCTTCGTATGTGGCTCCATGCTCAGCGTGGAGTCTGCTCCAGATTCTCTCTCTCCCTCTCCCTCAGCCCCTTCTCCCTACTCACACTCTAAATAAATTAATTAATTAAATATTTTAAAAAGAAAAAAAATAAACTGTGCTTTAAAGATGAGAATTAGGGCGCCTGGCTGGCTCAGTTGGTTAAACGCCTGCCTTAGGCTCAGGTCATGATCTCAGGGTCCTGTGATCCAGTCCCACATCAGGCTCTCTGCTCAGTGGAGAGTCTGCTTCTCCCTCTCACTCTCCCTCTCTCTCTTAAATAAATAAATAAAATCTTTTACATATTAATCTCAATGTTTTGGATCTTGTTTGGAATCTGATTCAAGCAAACTTTTGAAAAATATTATAAGACAGTTGGAAAAATGTGAAACAAACTGAATATTTGATATTATGGGATTATTATTGATTTTTTTTGGTAGGTGAAATGTTGATATTGTGGTTAGGTTTTAAAAAGGATGTCCTTGTCTGCTATAGATACACAGTGAAAGACTTACATATTAAATTATATGGTGTCTAGAATTTGCCTCAAAATAATTCCCAGACAGGGAATAGAATCAGAGATCAGAGAGGGTGGTGTGTAGTGAGAAACAGACAGGGCATGAGTTGTTCATCGGTGAATCTGGTTATATTGGTTCATGGAGATTCACTGTACTATTTTCCCTACTTTTGTATATTTTTGATATTTTTATAATAAAATCCTTTCAAAGGGAAAAATAAGAAAAATCACATTTATGCATAAAAAAAGAGTTGAAATAGATCAAGAAGATGGGCTAAATACACATTTTTCATCCCTTCCTGCCCCAGCCCCATGGAAATGACAGAAAACATACTTTTAAAACAATAACCTGGGGTGCCTGGGTGGCTCAGTCATTAAGCATCTGCCTTCGGCTCAGGTCATGATCCCAGGGTCCTGGGATCGAGCCCCGCATCGGGCTCCCTGCTCAGCGGGAAGCTGCTTCTTCCTCTCCCGCTCTGCCTGCTTGTGTTCCCTCTCTCACTGTCTCTCTCTGTCAAATAAATAGATTAAATCTTTAAAAAATAAAAAATAAAACAATAACCCTTCGGGCGCCTGGGTGGCTCAGTCATTAAGTGTCTGCCTTCGGCTCAGGTCGTGATCCCGGGGTCGTGGGATCGAGCCCCGCATCAGGCTCCCTGCTCAGCGGGAAGCCTGCTTCTCCCTCTCCCACTCCCCCTGCTTGTGTTCCCTCTCTTGCCGTCTCTCTCTCTGTCAAATAAATAAATAAATAAAATCTTGGAGCGGGGAGACAATAACCCATAACCCCAGAAAGGATACCACAATTGTACCAGAACTGCCAAAGAATTTCTGAAAGATAAAAGGATCAAAAACAATTTTTTGGATTGATGGAGAAACCAGACACAGATAGTCACAACCTAAATCACACTGCAGAAAAATGGCTGGTGAGGTAACAGGAATGGAGAGGGAAACCCCAAACTCAGAATCAACACAAGTGACCAGCAGGAGCAGAGCCTTGGGGCAGCCATCTTCACGTTTGGCTGAAGTGAGGTCCTCAAACTTGGCCACATAGTCATCATCTGGGGAGCTTTGAAAACTCCATTGCCCTGGCCACATCCATACCTGCAAAATCAGAATCTCTGGGGTGGGACCAGGCATCAGGAGACCAACTGCTGTCATGAGAGATAGGGACCTTACACCACATTCACCAGCAGATAAATGGGGATTCTGGTTTGGGCTGAGAAAGACATTGTTCACTCTGGCTTCAACTGTTGGGGATGATAGCGCATATCTAAGTGCCCTCCCTTCAGAACCCCCGTGGAAGGAATCAGTAAAGGACTGAAAGAAAGCAGACACACAAAAGCAAAGAGCTGGGGGCAAGTCATCGGCAAACAGTAGAGATTTGGGTACATTTATTGCGGACAGAAAGTGGGTGGAAAAATTTATGTGGATGACACAGAGCAGAAGAAGCCACAGCAAGAGGTGCTGGAAAAGCATTTGTCCAGCAGAGGACAGGAGGGAAAAGCACTTGAGCACATGGGATTGAGTCACCAAGCTCACCTGCCCATCCTGTCAACAGCACTCACAGTACCTGAGTCCAGCATCTTCCGTCAGGCAGGAAGTTTGTGAATGAATTGCTTGAGAAGAAACCAGCCACCCAGGGTAAAATGCTGACATCCCAGGTAAAGCCCTTCAAAGGGTACATTCTGGAATGTGGGAGGCACTTAGTCAAATGACTTGCCTCAAAGTGAAACCTGACAGTCACCATGTCCCATTGATTTACCCAGAGCCAACCTACCTTCCCGTTCAGGAAGGAAGCCTACTAAAGAAATAAATTTCCATATAAAATAAAGTAAGGTAAATAAAATAATCCAGCCCCTTATTTTTAAATATGCTCAAGCAACTACATCTGTGAAGAAAACCAGCAGCATGAAGAAAGCACGGGAATAGCAAGCAGAACAGCTCACCCTGTAGGTTTAGTTTAATATCCAGGAAAGAAGATACTATGCCCATAAAGTAAGAATGTTATGAACATGGAAAAAATCAGAGAATAGCAAGTGAAAATTAAAAGATGATTCCAGCATATGAAACTCAGTAGAAGAGCTAGGAGATAAGGAAAATCCATCAGAATCTCTGGGGTGGGACCAGGAGGTGGGGCCATGGAGGAAATGGAGGAAATCTCCCAAAAACAAAGAGCCAGAAGACAGATGAAAAACACATGAAGGAAAATGAAACACAAAGGATTGTATTGTACAAAATGATTTAAAACAATCCACTGGTTCATTTCCCATAACTCAGTCATTACACCCATGGCCTATCACCATAGTTTCTTCCTACATTCAGGATATACTCCTACCTTCTTTCCAGTCCTGTTTCATCTGGAAAAATGAGATTGCCTCTTAGGCTTCATGGTCATCCATGGTACTGACCCAAGGAGAAATGGAATAGAAACTTCAAGGACGTTTTAGTGTCCTGACTGCTTCAGTCACTATGACTGCATAACATATTACTCCACAACTTTTAGTGGCTTAAGAAATGAGAATATTAATTTTGTTCACAAATCCACAATTCGGGCAGGGCTTGCAGGAAAGAGCTCATCTCTGCCACTCTTGACATCAGCTAAGGTGGTTCAAAGATGGGGCTGGAATTCTCTGAAGTCTCACACATATGTCTGCAGTTGGCGCCAACTGACAGCTGAGCTCATACCTGGGGTGTTGGCCAGAACCACCCACATGTGGTGTGGGCTTCCTCACAACATGGCGGCTAGGTTCCAAGGAGAAGAGTGGAGAGATACAGACAGGAAGAGAACCAGTCACATAGCGTCTCTTCCACCTCATTCCCTTTGTCAAGGCGGTACAAGAGGAGGAGCAATGGATTCTTGATGGGGAGTCACAAGGTTCTGGAAGAGCATGGGACCAGAAATGGGACCAGAAATATTGCTGAACCAATTTTAGAAAAATGCAGTCTGCCATATTAACATAAATCATTAATACCTGAGTTTGGGAGGGCATGGTCCCAAAGATCAGAATTTCTGTTTCTGTACTTTGAAACTCATTTTCTTTTCTTTTCTCTTCTTTTTAAGATTTTGTTTATCTTGGGGAGGGAGGGAGGGGGAGAGAGAGAGAGAGAGAGAGATGGGGAGCACGAGCGGAGCAGAGAGGCAGAGGGAGTAGCCGACTCCCTGCCAAGCAGGGAGCCTGATTTGGGACTTGATCCCAGGACCCTGGGATCATGACCTGAGCTGAAGGCAGACGCTTAACCAACTGAGCCACCCAGGCGCCCTGAAACTCATTTTTGAAGTCATCCAACACCAATTCTAGACTCTGCTCCATTTCGAGAGTATGGGCCAAAGTAAGGGGATAGAATGTCAGTCTTCCACAGCTCCCAAATGAGGTACTGCAGCCCCACCCTACATCCGGGCTATAAGCTCACCCCTGCCAAAGTGGCATTGTCTATTAAGATATTGTTTCCTGTCTTTTGGAAGCCATCTATCCTGATCTTAATACGGTTTCCACCATGACCCAACTTCCCATTGAACTCTGACCTGATAGTCCCTGAGCTTGTGAGTACTTTTTTCTATAAATATTCCCCAAGCATTCCATGAGCATTCCTAGATGTGGATTTTCCTTCTTATTGCTTCTCTTGATTAACTGATTGACCTCAACTACACAAGTATCCTGGGTTGCGTTCTGAACCTGTTGTCTTTGATTTTGAGCCCAGCTCTGTGGAGGGCACCCAGACTTGGACATTTGTTCCAAGCCTGAGGGAGGACTGTTCTTCACGTGACTTCCTTTTGCCCCCAGCCAGCCCTGCACCAGCCACCTGCCAGTCAGCCATTCTTACCTGCCTTCTTCCTGCTCTCTGCTGCTGAAGCACATACTCCACCCTCCAAGGAGCCGGACCAAATCAAAAGAAATAACTGAATTTTCCAGACGATCAACACTTGTCCCTCTAAACATCAAAATTATTCTTGTCTTAACCAGTAGAGGTAAAAAAATATATATATATCTAAGATCTTCTACATTATATTCTTCTTAAACATAATATCTAGAATAACTTGATCAATTTTTCATGGCATCAAAGTGTCCCCATTACTGTTCTTTCTTGCTAAATGCAGTGTTATCACAATGAGAAATAAAAAGAGAAACATACTGTAACATTTTTGTTCCCAGAAACTTAATTTCTAGAAAAGATTAATATTCTCATATGTTATCCATTTACCTCTGATAGCAGATTAATTTTATGATTAAAATAAATACAAACCAGCAGTGTCTGGGTGGCGCAGTCGGTTAAGTGTCTGCCTTTGGCTCAGGTCATGATCCCAGGGTCCTGGGATCGAGCCCCACGTTGAGCTCCCTGCTCAGGCAGGGAGCCTGCTTCTCCCTCTGCTGCTCCCCTTGCTTGTTCTCTTTCTCTCTCTCTCTCTCTGTCAAATAAATAAATAAATAAATAAATAAATAAATAAAATCAATCTTTAAAAAAATAAAAAATAAATACAAACCCTGCCCTCTCCAGTTCAGATGTGCAAAAATATGTATGTTTTTTATTTTCTATAACTGAACTATACTCCCTTATGAGCCCCATTCCCACAAGTGGGAGGTGGGGACATGGACAGATATGGAGACTATACAGAAGCTTGTCTCAGTCTGTCCAGTTGAAACTGGTCCTAGTTTAGGTTGTCTCTGGGGCTTGCAGCAGTTTTCCCCAACCCCATCTCCCATTTCTCAGTGGAGATAGCATCTAGCCAGGGCGGGGGGCGGGGAGGATGTACACGTTCTGTTGGTAAAAGGGGAAAGGGGCCCCTGACCCTCTGAACCTCTAGACCTAGTTCTACTGAGGAATGACTGGTCTTAACTAGCCAAGTCCCCAGGACCTGGCTGGTGTCTACTGAATTTGGCTGGTGAAACTCATGGCCTCTTCTCAGTAGGTCCAATCTTAGTGATCTTGGCCTGTTGTCTGTTGATGCCAATGCCTTGAGATCCATCTGCCATCTGATCCTTGGCTAGACCGTCGATCCCGAAGCCTATGCTGTGGGATTACCTGGGTCAGTAACCTTGAGGACTGGGGAGCAGGTTCCCTAGCTCTCCGCGCAGCTCCCCTCCGTGGGGTCCCACTCCTTGTGTAAGTGAGGGAAGCATTCTCTTTGGCCCTTTGCCTGGACATTGCATTTAGCCTTTTCCACTTACCACTTGGCAGCGCCATGTTACTCTTGCTCCACGCTGACCTGGGGGCTTGATGAAGCGGCTTGAATTTCCTGGGCCACGCCAAGGCCTCCTGTGCTGAGAGTTTCCCAACCTCAGAGTTGTTTCTTCACCCTCTTAGTATCTCTGAGGGCACAGGGAGACCAGACCCCATCTGATCTCTCTCTCTCCCCCTACCCCGCATCTCTGCCCCCACCCTTCCTTGGGCCCCCTCCTCCAGGCTTTCCTGCCTAATCACACAGAAGACACCCTTCAGGGCGCCTGGGTGGCTCAGTTGGTTGGGCGACTGCTTTCGGCTCGGGTCATGATCCTGGAGTCCCGGGATCGAGTCCCGCATCGGGCTTCCTGCTCGGCGGGGAGCCTGCTTCTCCCTCTGACCCTCCCCCTTCTCATGTGCTCTCTCTCTCATTCTCTCTCTCGCAAATAAATAAATAAAATCTTTAAAAAAAAAAAAAAAAGAGAAGACACCCTTCACTCATACACTCCTTTTGACTGTGGTTTTGGCTAAAACTTGGTGGTCTTGAGTCTAACAGGCTTGCCTCTTGATGCATGTGTAAGAGGAGTGTTTGGTGCTTAGTGAAACCTTTTTTTTTTTCCTCGACAAGCCAGGATTTCACACATTTTGTTTTGCCAAGACTTTAAAAAGTCAATACTTTTGGGGCGCCTGGGTGGCTCAGTCAGCTGAGTGTCCAACTCTTGGTTTTGGCTCAGGTCATGATCTCAGGGTCATGAACAAAGAGTCTGCTTGGGATTCTCTCTCCCTCTGCCCCTCCTGCTTGTGCTCACGCTCTCTCTCTCTCTCTCTCTCTCTCAAATAAAAAATAAATCTTTAAAAAATAAAAATAATAAAATAAAAAGTCAATACCGAGATTTAGGGCGCTTGGGTGGCTCAGTTGGTTAAGCGACTGCCTTCGGCTCAGGTCATGATCCTGGAGTCCCCGGATCGAGTCCCGCATTGGGCTCCCTGCTCAGTGGGGGGTCTGCTTCTCCCTCTGCCCTCTTCCCTCTCGTGCTCTCTGTCTCTCATTCTCTCTCTCAAATAAATAAATAAAATCTTTAAAAAAAAAAAATGCCGAGATTTAGAGCTGAACAATGATGCCTTTGTTCTAGGCTTTACCCACCCTGCATGTACTGTCTAAATGCAGCCATGTCTAGTAGAACTTCCTGTGATGGTGGGAATGTTCTACCTGCACCACCCGAGAGTGTGGTCACCAGCCACGGGCAGCTACTGAGCGCTGGAAACCTGGGTAATGTGAGGGAGGACTGAATTGTTCATTTCATTTTAATTAGTTTAGATCACAACGTGGCTAGTGCTGTGCTGGACCATGAGAAAAAAACAGCAAACTTCATGGCACAGACCCAGGGGACAGAAAAACTCCAGTGAGAGAAGCTGGCTCGCAAAGCCCTCGGCTATATTGTCCCCGTCACAAAAGTCTGTTGCTCTGTTAAAAAGTACTTTTTGGTGTCGGGGACGATATGTAAGGTTATGGCCTATTTCTGTTTGTGCTAGCATCTATAGATTTTATTCAAAAAATACTGAGCCCACTTAAATTGTTTTATAGACAAGATGGAGGCTGGTAAGAGCAAACATTTATAGAAAAATTGGTATTGTGGTTCTCTTTAGGAGAAGGATCGAGAGCTTGAAATTAGAAACATCTATACTAGTCGGATATTTAAAAATTTACATGACAAAGAAGATTATCTAAAAGGTACATTTTAATTATTTTTGCTCAAAATCTATTTTTAAGGATGTAGTCATATTTTTCTACTTTATATCATGCAAATAATGGATATTTTAAAAATCAGTTTCACTAGGCATTGAAACATTCTGGGATTCTAGAAGAATAATGAGCCATGGGATATGGTTGAAACAGTAGGAGGACCTAGACATGCTCTCCTGTCCTCCCAGCCTCCGCTCAGTCCCGCATGTCCTTACTGCAGGCGGATTGGGAGCCCCACTTTCCAGCTGGGAGCAAATTGTCTGCCAGACAGTGAACTTTCTAAGTACATCTGTTGCCCAGTGTGGGGGTTTTTTAAATCATCATTATTTAGGTACAATTTGCCTCAGTAAGATGGACCCATTTTAAGCGTGCATTTTGGCGGGTTTTGGCAAAAGCTGACATGAATGTGACCAGCACCCCAGTCAGTACAAACCTCCCCCTCAGGAGGACCCCTCCCAGCCCCCTGCCATCAGGAGTCCCTGGCCCTGGCCTGAGGCAACCACTGATTTCCCTTGTCAGAGCAGCTTTCTTTGCCCGTTCTAGAATTTCCTGTGAGTGGAATCATATAGCAGGTGCTCTTCCGTGTCTGGCTTCTTTTGTTCAGCCTAATGCTTTTGAGATTCACCCATGTTGCTGTTGCTATCATTCGTTTGTACCTTTTCATTGCTGAGTAGTATTTTTCCTTCAAGACAGGCCGTACTTATCCACCATCCCCAAGATCTGCCAGCATGAGGCTTGGCTCAGAAGAAATACAATAGGAACAGTCACCCCTAGTTTGGTAGAAAAAGCCACTACGTGCTTACTTTTTTGTTGTTTTTTGGTGATGGTGGGTTTTTTTAATTTAAATTCAATTACTTAATATATAGTGTATTATTAGTTTCAGAGGTAGAGTTCAGTGATTCATCAGTCTTATATAATACCCAGTGCTCATTACATCCCATGCCCTCCTTAATGCCCATCACCCAGTTACCCTATCCCCCACCCCCCCTCCAGCAACCCTCAGTTTGTTTCCTATGATTAAGAGTCTTTTATGATTTTTCGCCCTCTCTGATTTCATCTTGTTTTATTTTTCCCTCCCTTCCCCTATGATCCTCTGTCTTATTTTTTAAACTCCACATATGAGTAAGATATGATAATTGTCTTTCTCTGACTTATTTTGCTTAGCATAATACCCACTAGTTCCATCCAAGTCATTGCAAATGAGATTTCATTTTTTTTGATGGCTGCATAATATTCCATTGTATATATGAACCACATCTCCTTTATCCATTCATCTGTCGATGGACATCTGAGCTCTTTCCATAGTTTGGTTATTGTGGACTTTGCTGCTATGAACATTGGGGTGCAGGTGCTCCTTCAGATCACTACATTCGTATCTTTGGGGTAAATACCCAGTAGTGCAGTTGCTGGGTTGTAGGGTAGCTCTATTTTCAATTTTTGAGGAACCTCCATACTGTTTTCCAGAGTGGCTTCACCAGCTTGCATTCCCACCCACAGTGTAGGAGGGTTCCCCTTTCTCCACATCCTCGCCAACATCTGTCGTTTCCGGACTTGTTAATTTTAGCCATTCTGACAGATGTGAGGTGGTATCTAATTGTGGTTTTGACTTGTATTTCCCTGATGCCAAATGATGTGGAGTATTTTTTCATGTGTCTGGTGGCTATTTGAATGTCTTCTTTGGAGAAATGTCTGTTCATGTCTTCTGCTCACTTGTTTGGATTATTCTTTGGGTGTTGAGTTTGATAAGTTCTTTATAGATTTTGGATACTAGCCCTTTATCTGATAAGACATTTGCAAATATCTTCTCCCATTCTGTCAGTTGTCTTTCGGTTTTGTTGACTGTTTCCTTTGCTGTGCAAAAGCTTACTATCTTGATGAAGTCCCAATAGTTCATTTTTGCCTTTGTTTCCCTTGCCTTTGGAGACGTGTCTAGCAAGAAGTCGCTGCGGCCGAGGTCACAGAGGTTGCTGCCTTTGTTGTCCTCTAGGATTTTGATGGACTCCTGTCTCACATTTAGGTCTTTCATCCATTTTGAGTCTATTTTTGGGCATAGTGTAAGGAAATGGTCCAGTTTCATTCTTCTGCATGTGGCTGTCCAATTTTCCCAACACCATTTGTTGAAGAGACTGTCTTTGTTCCATTGGACATTCTTTCCTGCTTTGTCAAAGATTAGTTGACCATAGAGTCAGTTGGACTGGACTCTCTATTCTGTTCCATTGGTCTATATGTCTGTTTTTGTGCCAGTACCAAGCTGTCTTGGTGATCACAGCTTTGTAATATAGCTTGAAATAGGGCAATGTGATGCCCCCAGCTTTGTTTTTCTTTTTCAACATTTCCTTTGCTATTTGGGGTCTTTTCTGATTCCATACAAATTTTAGGATTATTTGTTCCAGCTTTGTGAAAAAAGAATTGATGGTATTTTGATAGGGATTGCATTGAATGTGTAGATTGCTCTGGGTTGCATAGACATTTTAACAATATTTGTCCTTCCAATCCATGAGCATGGAATGTTTTTCCATTTCTTTGTGTCTTCCCCCATTTCTTTCATGAATGTCTATAGTTTTCTGAGTACAGATCCTTTGCATCTTTGGTTAGGTTTATTTCTAAGTATCTTAGGGGTTTTGGTGCAGTTGTAAATGGGATTGACTCCTTCATTTCTCTTTCTTCTGTCTCATTTGCAACTGATTTCTGTGCATTGATTTTCTATCCTGCCACTTTGCTGAATTCCTATATGAGTTCTAGCAATTTGGGGGTGGAGTCTTTTGGGTTTTCCACATAGGGTATTTGTCATCGGTCTATGCGCTTTTAAAGGCAACAACCTCAAATTTCCTTGCCTTCCTTTGTTTGCTTCTGCTTTGTAATCCAGAATAATAGCTAGCAGAGATGATCATACCAACCACGGGGTCATTTAAATGGGATCACACTTTGAGGAAAGTGTAGGTTTAGTGGCAGGCTCCTGCGTGAGCCATCATTCTAACCACTGGTAACCAAGAGCACTGCCGCAGGAGGTCGCTGTGGCTCACTGCCTCACGACTGCGTGTCCGAGCAGGGAGGACGTGTCCTCCAACAGGAAGGCCCTCCTAGCCTAAAGCCTCCTTGACACCCCTAACCTGTGTGGCCCAAAATAAGACAAAACCGGTGAAATGGTAGGGTAAAGGGGAACCGGCAAATGTTATCCATATATTGGGGAAAAGAAGTTTTAAATGTCTGTACACTTTGTCTTACACTACAAACTTCAGCATTATTTTATATCTAAAATCAATGTTGCTTCCACATGTAAAATGTTTCTTACATATAATGTACCTGTTCTGTAGTTTCTTCAACAAAATCTGTACAAGCAGACAGAAGTTTTTCACTGACAAGTATGAAACACCAGGAAACCCAAAAATCGGAAGATGCTCCATCTTTGACAGCTAAGGTACAACAGATTTGAATTCTTGCAGTGTCTGAACATATCTTTATAAAAATAGGGTATAAATAGTCTCTTATTCTCCACAAAAAGTATTTATATTCATTGAACAAAACACAATTTAAAATTGCCTGTACCCCCAAAAAAATGTGGTTTTGCTGCTTTTCTAAATTATAGGGTAAAAGGACAACTGGAAACATTGGTCATAAAGAAAAATCAACTGAAATAACCTGTGCAATTCCTCACTATATCAGCAAACTTCCAAACCAAGAGGATTCCAAGAGAAAATACGAAGGTAATTGTAACCACTTTTAAAAGTTTCCTTTACTCTTACTCGATTTAAGTTGTGAATTAGTGTGTGTGTGTGTGTGTGTGTGTGTGTGAAAAGTATACATAAGAGGCACTTGGGTGGCTCAGCTGGTTAAGCCCGCCTTCGGCTCAGGTCATGGTCTCAGGGTCCAGGGATCAAGCCCCACAGGGAGCCTGCTTCTCCCTCTCTCTCTGCTGCCGCCCTGCTTGTGCTCTCTCTCTCTGCATCAAATAAATTCTTTATAAAAAGTAAATAAAAGTATACATAAAACACATTTATACAATGTAAAGAATTCTTAGGAAATGAGCATCTGTGTAGCCACACCCCTGCTTAAGAACTAGCACCTTCGTGTTCCCCGCACACCTGTGGGCCCTGCCGAACCACAGGCCTGCGTCCCCCGCCCGCCAGAAATAACCACCACCTTCCATTTTATGCCCGTCGTTGCCTTGCTGTTCCTCACAGTGCGTATCCTTAACAGTATGTTCAGTTTTGACACACTGAGCAGCAAACCCAAACCTCGCTGAGTGAAGGGCAACATCCCTGCTAAGGAGACTTTAAATGAAGACTCCCAGGAAAAGACGCACAGACTCTGGCTTCAGCTTCCCGGACATACAAGGGGTCGGAGCCGGGGGTGAGGTCAAGCGTCCCCCGGGGAGGCAGAGACCCACCAGGGCCCTGGCACCTACAGCGGGACAGACGGGGTGGGAGGGAATGGGCTGCCAGAATTTACTGTGCTAAGGTCACCAGACTCCGCTCCAGCGCTCGGGGGTGGGTCCGAGCAGACCGCTGCTGTCCCCAGCCACGCCAGGCGGCAGCGCATGAGGGCGAGGACCACACCTTCATCAGGCCCCGGGCCGGACAGGCCAAGGACGTTGCGTGCCCGGGAGGTCTGCGGAGCAGGGGTCTTGGAGGCGCCACTCTCGGCGCTTCAGCCTCTTGGCCTCGGGACCGGTCCCCGCACCTCTGGCGCGCAGCTGTGGTGCTGGGACCCGCGTTTCCCCGCGGGCTCCTGCCACCGCGCTCTGCCCAGTCTTCCGGCCCCTAAGCCGTGGCCTCCTCCTGGGTAAGAGCCGTCGTGCCCTAAGAGCACATCCTCCCCCAGCTGCTGCAGGATGTGTGTGCCTGTCGCCTGGAGAGGGCATCACGCGGCCCTCACGCTTGACGAATACTTGGCTGGAAAGGAAGTCCGGTTGGAGATCATCCGCCTTCAGCATTCTTGGTGAAGACGGTCTCTACTGGGCGCGAGAGAGCGGGCACACGCGAGTGGGGCTGGGGCAGAGGGGGCGAGAATCTCAAGCGGACTCCCCGGGGAGCACCGGGCCTGTGCGGGGCTCGATCCACGACCCTGGCATCAGGACCCGAGCGGAAATCGAGCCCGAGGCTTCTCCCCCCACGGAGCCGCCCGGCGCGCTCCGCTCGGAATTTTAAAGCCACTGCCCCCTGGCGTCCGTGCGAAACCACTGCGGCGGGAAAGGCGCCGCGCGCGCCACGGCCGGGCAACCGCAGCGGCGGCGGGCAGTCCCCGCGGCCCGGGTCCCGCTCGGGAGGCCCCCCTCGGTGTGGGGCCTCCGAATCCCCCGGACGACACAGGGCTCGCCGGCGCTCGCAGGACGCCGCCGCGAGTGCGGCCGACCGCGGCTGACAAGTGGGCTGGGCGGTTTCCCCGGCGCTGTTGGTCCGTGTCGCTAATTCTCGCCGTCCCGGAAAGCGTGCCCATGCACGGGACAGAGAGTCTCGGAGCCACGGTGTCCGGGCCGGTCCCGGGAGGAGTCGCGCGCTCGTGCGCCGCTGACCCAGCGAGGAAGGACCGCTGCGCGCGCAGCAGGGAAGGCGTGCGGCTCGGCTGGGGGCCGTGGAGCTGCCGAGAGCGCCCGCACCGAGAGGGACGCGCCGGGCGGCGGCGGGGGCGGCGGGGCGGCGGGGGCGCACACCCGACGAGGGCCTTCCGGGCGAAGCCCGCGCCGCCCGCAGGAGGGACTGCGCAGCGGGGGGCTGAGGGGGGCTCGGGCCGAGTCCCGCGGCGGGCCAGCTCGGGGGGCACGGTGGGGACTTGGGCCTGCTCTCGGAGGCGGGGGGGCACGGGGAGCCACGAAGGGCTCGGAGTAGAGGCCGCCGTGCAGCAAGAGCAGGGCAGGGAGGCCGGGAGCAGCCCACCGCCCTAGCCCCGGAAGGGGGCTCACACAGGCGGAGGTGGCAAAGGAGCAGTTTCACCCAGGGTGTCCCGTGTTCACCTTCGCATCAGGTATCGGGGCACGACAGGAACGGTTCTTTAGAATTAACCATATAGTCTGCGGGCTTCTTTGCTCACCACTAATTCTTAAAACAATTGCTCTTGCTAGAATTCCTTTTTTTTTTTTTCCTGGATTAAAAGGAATACTTTTATTTCGGAATGTATTCACGTGAGAAAATTTCCCAACCCCGTGCTCATGTGACATTGCCCCATTCCCCGCCACAAATGAGCGACCGTCCAGGTGTGTAAGTGATCCGGACGCAGGTCGTGGGTGCGGGTTTCCTGAGAAGGTGTGCATCTCCGTCCCTGCAACAGCCCTTCCTCGGAAGAGGGGAGGCTGAGGGCAGGGCTTCCTGAGTGCCTGAGTAAGGAACGGGAACGGAAAGCTCACCTCCAAATGACTTTTTCATTTAGCAGCCTACCCTGAACCTCTCTCCCCCGTCAGTCCCCACGGCCCCACCCCGGCCTTTATAATAGCTGCCCAGAATCCCCCGGACTGCACATGCCATTTCTTTACCTGTGGCCCCTGCACACACATTTAGGATGTTTCCTGGTTACTACACCATGCTGCAGTACACATCCTTATACGTATCTTTGCGCATTTTTGTACAGTTTGGTCCTAGAAGTGAGGTTGTTGGATCTAAGAGTACGTTCACGTAAATTCTGATAGATACAGGGGAGCCAGGGTGGTGCAGATGGCTGAGCATCTGACTCTGGTTTCAGCTCAGGTCATGATCTCAGGGTCTTGAGATCGAGCCCTGGGTCAGGCTCCGTGGTCAGCAGGGAGTCTGCTTGAGATTCTCTCCCCGTCCCTTTCCCCTCTCGCCAAACCCCCATGCACAAGTGCACACTCTCGCTCTAAAAAAAAAAAAGGTTAAAAAAAACTTTTGTATAGTTACAGTCAAATTGCCATCCAAAAAAAGCTGTACCAATTGACACACCCACCAATGGGGAACAGAGTTCCAATTTCCCCATATTCTCACCAAATCTGGAAACTATTTGTCAGTTTGGATGGGTGAAAAGTATTCTCATTGTTTTAAATGGCACTCCATCGCCTAGGAATGATGAGCATCCACTGATAACTTCTTAAATGTCTGTTCTTCTTTCATGAATATCATGTTTCTTTTGGTTTCATAATTCTTATTTATTTGGTATGTTCTAGGAAAGTTGAACGTTTCAAGCTTGTTACCAGCACCCTTCCCTGTATTCTAGTGTTGGATGCATGTCACATTCATGTGCCTGTGAGATGTCAACAGTGTGCTCAGTATGCCTTCTTGAAATAGAAATCCCTACATTTTAAAGATCACTAAACAGACTATTTTTCGAATACAGATTTATCGAAGGAAGAGGAACATTTGGAAGTACAATCACCTCTGGCGAATATTGGAAGACAGAGAGAAACAAAAGAAGATCAAGAAAAGAAAACCACTTTGGTGAAAGAAGAAGAACTACCACCAAAAAGAATTCAAGTAACTCATCCTGAAAGGGAAGGCAAGCAGGAAGACAATGCAGGGAAAGAAAAGTTCAAAACAAGTCTCCAAATAAATGACGTGGACGAGATGCCTGATAAAAATGCTGCTGCGAATATCAAGATACCCTTCAGACAGAGAAAGCATTACTCGTTCACAGAAGCGACGGAGAACCTGCACCACGGGCTTCCTGCCTCGGGCGGCCCGGTCGGGGCAGGTGTGATGAGAGGCGGCGTGGGCACCAGCAAGCCTCGCGGTAACGCGGACGGACTGAAGCCAGAACATTCTGTGAGTGGGTATGAACCCTCTTTCGGCAAGTCTTCCCGAACAAAAGCAAAAGATACTTTCAGAGATAAGAAAAGAAGTCTAATGGAAGAACTCTTTGGGTCGGGCTATGTCTTTAAACACGACCAGACCAGCACGGCTGCTCCTAAACACGCTGACGAGACTCTGGAAAGTAAGAAGATGCACCATCTACCTCCTAGTCAGGCCTCCGCCAGCAACGCTTTTGGAGATTCTAAAGTAACTGTGGTAAATTCTATTCAGTCATCTTCACCTACAGAAGGCAAAAGAAAAATAATTATTTAAATATAATCAATATCCTAATACATTCTGATATGATATTCTCGTTCTTATGTGCCTTTAATCTTATAATGTTAGTGTTGTGTGTCTGTGTGTTTCAGTACTTAAACTGACTTTGGATAATTAAGGTTTTTATAACCTAATTTTGAAAATCCATTTTGTATTAGCCAATCACATTTCAAATATAAAATTATATCTTTTCTTCCTACAACTGAAAACATGTCCATTATCTTTTAGAAGACTGATTTACTCCATGGCTTTAATACTCTGTGGGACTCACGGCTCTTAAGTCCAAGTCAGCCAGCCAAGACCCACACACCTCATGTATGTGGGAACGTCCGCAGCAATCAAATTGTGTTTTAACTAAAAAACATGGAAGCAGCTTTGAAAGAGAAGACTCTATAAAAAAAAAAAAAGGCATAGTGATGACCAAGCGTGGTTTTATGAAAATTACTTTTGCGTGTTCTCCTATTCAGCTCAACTGCCTTTGTGATGACACTCTCCTCGTGTACACCTGAGATTCACTATTTTTACTTCTATTTGTTACATACCTATTCCTTGTCCTTCTTCCTGTTAATCTTGTTGTAAAAGAGCACCTGGGCAGAAGAGTGTCCACTCTAGCGAGCGGCTCCATTGCACTGAGAGTATCTCGTATGGGGACTAGACAGCGGCTGCGCTCCCAGCACTGATCAGTTTACTTACCACCTTCCTTTAGTTTAAGGCCAATTTATTTACAGTGTGGACCATGCTATTTCCAAAGAGGTTTACGGATTGGTGTGTAATACTAACACTTTAAAAAATTGAGAACTTTAAAAATAAAACTTTTAAAAGAGAGTGAAAGCCATGGTGGGAAACAATTGTATTCAAAACCAAAGACGAGATAAATACTGTAACTGCCATAAGCTTTGATCTTTATGAAAACCACAGAGGGGAACAGAGAAGGAAAGGGAGGTGGGGGAGGGAGGAAAGTTCGATGTTCCACAGGCTTCTAAGGAGAGACACGCAAATGCACGTCAAATGATATAAATGCCTAGCCCTAAATTCTGGAGAAATTCACTAAAAGGATTCTTGGAAATGGTATATGGAATAATAGTCCAGTATTTTAACATCTACTTGCTTTACAGCAGGTGTAGGATTTTTCAAGGAGATCTTTTCTTATGCCTGCCTACCCATAACAAAAGCATAAATCATAACATGAGTTAAGGGTCCGTCCGACTCTTGATCTCAGCGCAGGTCTTGATCTCAGGTTGTGAAATCAAGATGCACTGGGCATGGAGCCTACTTTTTTTTTTTTTTTTTAAAGATTTTATTTATTTATTTGACAGAGAGAGACATAGTGAGAGCAGGAACACAAGCAGGGGGAGTGGGAGAGGGAGAAGCAGGCTTCCTGCGGAGCAGGGAGCCCGATGCGGGGCTCGATCTCAGGACCCTGGGATTATGACCTGAGCCGAAGGCAGACGCTTAACGATTGAGCCACCCAGGCGCCCTGGAGCCTACTTTAAAAAGGAGAGAGAGAGAGAGATCCAGGCTGGTAGTACCCTCAGAGCAGGAGAAATGCAAATTGTCTCTGGAAAAACCTGTCCTTGACCCAGGCCTCAAGAAATTCCCATAGATAATTAAAAACAAAAACAAAAACAAAAACCCACCCACACACATGCAGTACAAAAAATGATAAAAGACAAGAAAACAAGGTGTTAAGACAACCAACAGGAACAGTTATCAGGGTCAGATCTGCAAAGACTCTACATGTTGCAATTATTATACGTAGAAAATAAGCATGTTTAAAGAAATAAGTTTCTGAAAATATGAATAAAAAGAACAAGAACTCAGCATATGTGACAAAGAACTTAAAAGACGTACATATAATCATTGAATTTAAATTAACTCTATAAATGGGCTTAACAGCAGAAGAAACCAGAACACAGCAAAAAGATGGATCTAAGAAACCAGAACACAGCAAAAAGATGGATCTAAAGAAGCGATCACCATCGAAGCACAGAGAGAGAGAGGAAGTATGAGGGGAGGTTAACAGGCATTCACAGATTAAAAAGGCTGAACTAATATGTAATCTGATCTTCTGAAGAAGAAAGAAGAGAGAATGGAGCAGAGTTAAATACCTAAAGAGATAAAGGGTGAAAAATTTCCAGAACTGACAGAAGGTACCAATCCACTGATTCAGAAATCAAGCAAAATAAGCAGAAATAGAAATGAAACAAAACACACCTGGCTAGGGCATGGTGAAACTGCAGAACACCAAAGACAAAGAGAGATCTTAAGATCAACCAGACAGTAAAGGCAACGTATTGTGAAAGGAAGCACGGCACGCATCCATCACGACAGTGAAGGCAGAAAACAGTGGGGAGCCCACGGGACAGCCGTGACCTAGAACCGCACACCCTCCAACACTGTCCAGAAGAAGGAAGATGCAGGACACATTTTCAGAGCCTCGCTAATGCGGAGATCAGCAAACCTTTTCTATAAAGGGCCAGATAGTAAATAACTTAGGCTCCACAGGCCACCTACTCTCAGTCACACCTTCGCGACACCACTGGAACGTGAAAACAGTGGGAGATCAGTCTTCTAAATCAGTCTTCTAAAAGATAATGGACATGTTTTCAGTTGTAGGAAGAAAAGATATTCTTTTACGCAAACCGGCCTGGCTGGCCTCCTTCCAATACAACAAACCAAGTGCAGCCCGCTCGCCAAGTAGAGCCTGCCATCTAACTCCCATTCTGACTGACAGACTTCAGGCAGAGGGACTGGTCTGAGATAAAAGGTCTCCTGTGCGAGCAAGAGAGTGGTGAATGTGTAGTCCTAACATCGTGGTTTTACACCACCATCTCTTGTAGGGTCACACGGCTGAGGCATCATGCGTATGATGACGAGTACCTCGTGCATCGGGAGGGAAGGACTGACATTCTGGTGTTGGCGCTCACACTACAGCAGAGGAGAGCAAAGCATTAACGTTAAGCATGGACGAATTTCCTAATGTTAAAACAAAAATCAAGTAACTTCAAAATTTAAGGGGGGAGAAGGATGTGGGAAAAAAAAAAGAAGAAGGCAATCATGAGATAACAGAAAATATGTACTGGGGGGACACCTGGGTGGCTTAGTCGGTTAAGCGGCTGCCTTCAGCTCAGGTCATGAGCCCAGGGTCCTGGGATCGGGTCCCGCATTGGGCTCCTTGCTCAAGAGGGGAGCTTGCTTCTCCCTCTCCCTCTGCCTGCCGCTCCCCCTGCTTGTGCTCTCTCTCTCTATCTCTCTCTCTGTGTCAAATAAATAAATAAAATCTCTAAAAAAAAAAAAAGAAAGAGGGCACCTGGGTGGCTCAGTCGGTTAAGCGACTGCCTTCAGCTCAGGTCATGATCCCAGGGTCCTGGGATCGAGTCCCACATCAGGCTCCCTGCTCTGCGGGAAGCTTCTCCCTTTCCCACTCCCCCGGCTTGTGTTCCCTCTCTCGCTATGTCTCTCTCTGTCAAATAAATGAATAAAATTAAAAAAAAAAAAAGAAAGAAAGAAAGAAAGAATGTACTGGCCTCTGCCCAGGCTCCCAGCACAGAGCTCCTGAAACCCCTGTAATTCCCTGCATGGGAAGAGCACTCGGAGCACCTTTTGTTCTGGTATTTGGTCTCTAACCCCTTCCTGACACAGGGCTCCGGAAACCCTGGTAATTTCTGGGTGATGGGCGTGTCTTTTGTTCTAACGAGGCGACTCCAGGTGGGCTCCTGGGTGGGGGCTGGTCACCGGAAAGACCACGCTGGGATTAGAAGTTTGGAACTTTCAGCCCCACCCTTATACTCTTGAGAAGGGAGAGGGGCTGAAAATGGAGTTGATGATCCACCATGCCTACCCAAGGAAACCTCCATAAAATCCCAGCAGCATGGGGTTGGGAGAGCTTCTGGGTTGAACACATGAAGGTGCAGGGAGAATGGCGTGCCTGGAGACGGCGTGGAAGCTCCACACCCCTTCCCACACACCTTGCCCTAAGCATCCCCTCCATGTGCTGGTCATCGGTATCCTTTATCATATCCTTTTATAATAAACTGGCAAACAGGAGGAAATGGCTTTCCTGAGTTCTGAGCTGCTCTAGCAAATTAATCAAACCTGAGGAGGAGATCATGTGAATCCCTGACTGATAGTGGTTGGTCAGAAGCAAAGCCCAGACCTCCCAGTAATGGGTAGCCCAGCAAATAAAAAAGCACCAGTAAAGAAAAAGATTTGAATAAGACAGTTGGTAACTCTAACCTAATGGACACATACAGAAGACAAATTCAAACTTGTATTTTTCATCACAAATGGAGGATTTACAAAAATTTTATCCTAATATATTTTAAAGTTGAGAAGAAATGGTTAAATCCTAAGCTAATTTTCCTAATATAATTCAAGAAAAAATATAAAACTGAAAAACCTCATAATCACTAAAGAAATTGAAATCAGTAGTTAATCTTTCAATAAAAATAAGAGAAAACCCAGAAGATTTTACCAACAAATTCATCATATATTCAAAGAATAACTCAGACCTTAAAGCTGGTCCAGAATATAGAAAAAGGAACATTTTCCAACTCAGTCGTATGAGACTGGCATAACCATGATAACAAAACCAGATGAGGAAAAAGACAATACTGCCCACATTCAACACTTCTATTCCACACTGTACTAGAGGTTCTGGCCAGAGCAAGTAGGCAAAAATGAAATAAAAGGCATTGATTGGAAAAGAAGTAAAACTATCTCTATTCACAGATGACATGATCTTGTATATAGAAAATCCTAAGGTATCCACTAAACTACTGGAACTGATAAATGAGTCTGCAGAATACAAGATCAATGTATAAAAACCAATTTCTATATAACAATCTGAAATGAAATTTAAAAAATTTCACTTATAATAGCATCAAAAAGAAAATACTTATGAATAAATTTAACAAAAGAAATAGAAAATATCATCTGAAAACCACAGAGCGTTGTTGAAAGAAATTGAAGATCAAAATACCTTGAAAGACAGCCCATGTTCATGGACTGGAAGACCTAATACTGTTAAGAGGGCAATACTCCCCAAGCTGACAAATTCAACACAATCCCTATCAGAATCCCAGCTAACTTCTTCATAGAAATTGAGAAGCTAATTCTAAAATTCAAATGAAATTGCAGGGGACACAGAACAGCCAAAACAATCTTTAAGAAGAAACACAAAATTGGAGGATGTACACTTCCCAATTTCAAGACTTACTACAAAGCTCAAAACATTTTGGTATTGGTTTAAGTACAGACAGACAACAAGGTGGATGGAATAGAACTAAGAGTCCAGAAATAAACCCATGTATCTACAGTTCACTGATTTTGACAAGGTTGCCAAGACCACTCAACGGGGAATAAACAGTCTCAACAAATGGTGCTTAAAAACCAGATATCCACG